AATTTTCAAATTTTCTTTTATGAAACTTTTTTGGCATGACGTTATAATATCTTATTTGTATTTTTAAAATATATCAGTCCAACCGGAAACAAAAACGTCAACTTCCGGTTTTAAGAGAAAAACTGCATAATTTTAGTATTTTTCTTTCCCCTAAATATTTCTTATACATGACATATTTGTAACGATTTTTGGATATGTAATTCACACTGCAAATGTCTACAGGAAGGTCAAATATCTTTGTTAAATTCACTTCCGGTCGCGTGATTTTCTGTCCTCAAATGGAGAAGTTATCATAGCTAGATCTCGTAAACGATAAGAGATTAAGACACCAAACTGTTTCAAGTGGTAGATCTTGATGAGTAGGCAAAACCAGTTGGGATAACATTGTCCGCCGTCACTTCCGGTTGTCACAGGAAGTGATCAAAGAAATCGAAAAATTCAACTTATCTTTATAGAAACTTGTTGCATCACATTATAGCATCTTATTTGTAGTTTTGAAATATGATAGTATCACCGGAAACAAAATCGACAACTTCCGGTTAAAAGAGAAAAACTACATACCCGGTAATTTGAGTATTTTTCTTTCCCATAAATACTTTTTATAGTTAAAGTATTTGTAATGAGTTTTGAATATGTTATTCAGACTGCAAATGTCTACAGTAATGTCTAATATCTCAGAAAAATTCACTTCCGGTCGCGTGACTTCCTGTTCTCAAAATCAGAAGTTATCATTGCTAGATCTCGTTAACGGTAAGAGATTAAGACACCAAACTACTAGGGGTGGTAGACCTTGATGTGTAGACAAATCCTTTGAGTTTAAGTTCATCCACCGTCACTTCCGGTTGTCACAGGAAGTGATCAAATAAATCAAAAATTTAAACTTTTCTTTATGGAATCTTTCTTAGTATTACCTTATAGCTTCTTACTATTAGTTTTGAAATATGTCAGTTCCATTGGAAACAAAAATGACGACTTCCGGTTATGAGAGAAAAACTGCATAAATTGAGTTTCTTATTATGCCATAAATATCTTTTATAAAAAGAGTATTTGAAATGATTTTGGGACATGTTATTCAGACTGAAAATGTCTAGAGAAACCTCAAAATGAGACCTTTGACCCTTACTCAAAAAGTAATAAAGAAATATTCATTACCTTTTTCTAGATTCAGCTTCAAGTGTTTATCTCAAGTTTACCTTTCTCTCTCTCTCTCTCTGATGACCTTGACCTTTGCCCTTGATAAATGACCTTGTTCTTTGGCCCCATTGACCCAAAGGTCACAATCAAGCTTACGGTCGTGGAGGTATTTGCAACTCTTACTCTAACAAATGCTTATAAAATATCCCCTCCTTTCTCTAAAAACAAAACAAAACAATCAATACCAACTTAGAGAAAATGTCTACAAGTAAAACGAAACGAAATATCGGCATAAGATTCGTAATAAAAGAAAGAAGAGACCTGAAAGAAAGTGTCCTGAGAGTTTTAAGGTGAGTCTTTGAAGTATTTTGAAATTCTAGTGAATATCGGCAAAATCTGCATTTTTTTTCTGTCTGAAATTAAGTTATTGCTTAGCATAAAAATCAATTAAAACTCGTATTGGATATTTCTGCAATTATTGTTAATATCATTCGATTCTCCTGCTCCATTACGACATTTTAATACCAAGTATTCTTGCTTTCTTAGGTGTATGGAATTTATTTTAATTTTATTTAGATTTAAATATGAATCGGCTGAAACTCGGAAATGACGATTTTTCATATCAATTAAATTTCCACGCAATTGAGATAGGTCAATTGCAGTTACCCCGCTTGATACGATATGGTGTTGAAAAAATGCCCATGACTCACTCACTCTTTTTCCGGGATTTTGAATTTACTCTGCAACTGACCACGTGTATTAGTTTCGCTTTACAACTCTGTATATGCTAAGTGTCATTGCTTCACTGCAAATGTGTCCCATAATTATTCTAATCACTTTCCTACATACAATATCACATCAAACAGCCAATATCTCAGTTTTTTAAGAAATTTGACCGGGACTTTACTACGAAACTATTTCTTTTACTTCGAAACTCTTTCCTTCAACCTTAAAATACTAAGCTTACAAAATACCTGAAATGTTGTGGAAGTTGGTGGCTCAGTGGTTAGCGTGTCCGACTTTCATACTAATGGTTTTGGGATCGAGACCAGATGGAGGAATTGATATATATTTTTTTTTTGCATTTTGTTTTTTTTTTTAAAATACAAAAATATTCTTCTTACAGATAAAAGAGGAGAACGGAAGACCTTATTTGTTGCTGTAGCAACAAGAGTTTCTAGTTATTATTATTTTTCTTCTTCTTCTTCTTCTTCTTCTTCCTGGGTACTTTTTTGTCCGGGAATGATCTCGTAAACTATACATCCGACTAAGGTGAAATGTTTTTAGGGTCAGTAGACATGTTATGTAGATTTGCGGAACGAAGGTCATTTTGCGCGCACGTGCTTGCAAGAGCGTGCACGTGCAACGTGAAATGACCGATTTAATTGATATAGGCGTAACTTTTTAAATTTTTGATGAAATACTTTGAAACTTATAACATAGGGATATATTAGTAGCATAGACAATATGACATGGTCAAAATAGCAAGATCTCACGCGCATGCACGTGCGCTTTGCTCTGATTGGCTGAAACTAAAGTCTCAATATCTTTCTTGTTTTTTGACGAAATCCTTTGAAATTTTGAAAATAGCCATGCATTAGAATATCCTAAAACATGATATATAGCAATTATCATGAAAACACGTGCATGCACGTGCGCTGCAATCTGATTGGCTTAAACTTTAAATAGCTATAACTCCTTTGATTTTCAACCAAACAGGATGGGATTTGGAACTTAGATAGATATACTGGTCTACTACAAGTAAATATGGTCACCATGCACATGCATACACGTGCATGTACGTGCGCTGCAATCTGATTGGCTGAAACTTTAAACAGCTATAACTCCCTTGGTTTTCAACCAAACGGGGTGGGATTTAGAACATAGATAGATGTAACGGACATCTACAAGAAGGAATGGTCACCATGCTCATGTATGCACGTGTGTGCACGTGAAATGAGCAAAATAAAAAAAACCACTTGAATGAGTGCATCTTTTTAATACTTTTGGATTAAATACTTTAATATTTAGTATATTAAAATATATAGATTGTGTAGACAAGATGATATGGTCATTACGCACATGCATTCACATGCGCACAAGTGCAATGCTAAAATTTGAATAACTTTGTACACTTCTGGGTAAACGTTGTTAAAGTCTCAAATGCATCGAGTTTGACTTATTTAATGAAGCTTCCAGGGAATATGGCACCAAAAGGGAGTTGGGGAGCGTTTGGGGAACATCTGTAACGGTCCCCGTTACAATTAGCACTAGTTACTTTCATTTTATGAAAACTCATGTTTCACGAGATATTCTCCCTTGGAATTTGGAAAGATTTTCTTTTATGAAAATTCCTCTTGGATAAATGTGAGTAGTGCGAGCATTCTTCTAATATTGAATTTAAAAAGACTCAAAATTCCTTGAAGGAAATTTTTTAGCGTTATCCTCTGTGGCCTATAGGCCTCGTGTTTTTCTAATATTGCTAGAGCTACATGAACTCGGTTTTTAATTTCAGTACCATCAGATGAAATAACACATGAAGGTTCAGAAATGATTAATTTCCTTCCTAAGTCATACCCCGGAGCCTGCTGTGTCAGCACTAAAGGTAACTAGTCGAAAAGTCTAATTTTCCCGACTTAATATTAGATTTGTTTTCACTCAAAATTATTTCTTCTTTTTCAGATGATACGATAAGTATTGCAAGTACATTATCTAATCATTCGCATGATCAGCATCACCAAGAAACGATCTCTACTATATTAAAGAATATGAAGTTTCTCAACAGCGACAAAAGAGCCACTCAAACACTCGTCGCAGATGTGTAAATGACGTCATCGTGTAGATGCGACATGCAGTGTGATTTGTATTTTGTTTTTCTTGATAAAGTGATTAAAATTAATTGTAAGACATCAAATTTTTAGCTTGCTTTTTTCGCAGAAGTATGCTTTCCCACACCAGAAGATGGTATTTTGTTGAACATTCTGGGAGCTTCTTTAGTTCATTGATTTTTGGAGATAATTGCTTCCGTTCGGTTTCCTTTATTACTTATGTGCACTAATTATTGCCTTTCTATAAATCTTCTGAATCAAGGGAAACATGTAAAGTTAACGACCTTCTCGAACTACATGCAGTTGTTTACCGATGTATCGAAGTATATCGAAGTGTATCATTACGTACGAAGACACTTCTCTTTCACTAGATCTTGACGTAATTTGTAATTAACCATTTTCTTCGGAGATTCTGATGGATGAAAGTCTGTGTTACTGACATTGGTTTGACAGTCTTCACTAGGATAATTTGGGGTTAAGCGGAAATTGCGCGTTATTCAAAATCAATTAACGACAGTAAATTGTTCAGGATTGCTGACGAAAATCCAAATATATGAGACTTTCACAGAAGATATTCTTTAAAAAAATCCTCGTTATCAGAAGTTAACATGTTCATTAGAAAAGGAGTAGTAATTCCAGATTAGCGTACAGAGCTCCAAAAATTCAACATCTTTTAATTAAAGATTTCTGAAGTTTCATGCTGAAATTTATATTTGAATTACACATTTTACATATATTTGATAACTGTAATTGGTTGACATCAATTTTCCAGTTGAAACATCTAATTAAGATACATAAATGTCTACAATTAAACAGCTATATGAAAAAAAAACCAATGAGCCACATAAAGCAAACTATCAAATTTTAAAACTCACCCAATGTTGATCCTTTATTAAATTATAAAATTTTTACACAAATTGAAAACCTAATTCTATTTTAATAAAAAGTTAAGCTTATGCATGTGTTTGGCTGATACGACGCTGAGAGTTCTGTCGTCTGCGTTGCATGGCCAAGCACGTGCTTCATCTGGCAGACGTTAGTAATTTTCTACGATCGTTTGTTATCTCCGACAAATTTACAACACCAGCAGCAGTGAGCGAAACATCTGAGATCTCGTGTTTACATTGATGGAATACAAGAAGGGGATTTCAATGAAGTATGCCTAAACTTGCCCGATTTTACATTAATTTTGGGAATCCGGTTGCCATTTATTACGCAGGACAAAATGTCCAAGGATACCTTAACGTTGAAGTTGATAAACCGTTAAATCTGCAATGTAAGTAGACTCAGATTAATTATGATAGTTTTCATGACAAAGACACAGAGCAAATGTTAAAAGAAACGGACGGGACCTAGCCGGGTTTCAAGTTTGGGGAAAGGGAACGTCATGGAAACAATATTTCAATAGAGAAGTTTTCGGGTCTGTTTCGGCCATTTTCTCATGCAAAACATATCTCATGCAAAACATATTTATGTTTATGAAGTCAAAGTTTGTTTAAAATGCATTTCTTTACATCATTATACATACGGTGTTCTTAAATTTTTCTTTCCTGCATGTAAACAAATTTTGGATCAAGTTTAACCCTTTTGATCCAACAGTTGCTCTCTTCCAATGAAAATTATGAGTTGATTTGGTAAATTTAAAAAACTACATAATTCTCTCTTACACAGAACCGATGCCTACAAGAATTATCATCTTAAAATTTGGTTACGGAATAAGTTGCATTAACGAATGTACCTACAACTTGCTGCAGTTAAACCATAAATTTTCATTGGCTCAATGAATCATTAAATGATATTAAATAAATCTGCAAGCGTTCGTGTGAAATGATCAATCATTATGCTAATCGCTGAATTTTTCGTAATTGTAGCATTCATGCATCTGAGGTAGACATTGATAGAGCCATCAGCTTACTCTGTTTTACTCATTACATTGAATCTGTTTTCTCGTCTTAATGATATCCGAATTTTCAAAAATATGTTTTTCTCACTTGTTTGTGAAGCTGATATCGTCTGTAATGATTTCTAACTGCTACATTATGGTGTAGGTCATTTGTAAGCTGTTTTCTCTTAATGGGTTTCACTGAGAGCTCCTGTTTGTTAATTTATTGCAAATTTTATAAATCTCTGAGGACCTCCGAGGAAATATTTCTTGTAGGAAATCACACAAACTTTTAATCCCTTTGGGAGATTTTGAGTAATTTGCTGGCATTTCATGCCATAAACTTCCGCCTGTCTGAACGTCTCGACAACAACAAGAAAACGGTCAACATATAAATTGAATTATCCATGAGAAATTTACAAATAAACTCATCTAAATTGTAAAATAATTTGATCATCCGAATCAGTCCTGATGTCCATTTATATGCTGGAATCTCAAATGAAGCAACACGGTATTCGTGCTTTTGATAACTCCCCAAATGGATTTTGATACGATGCATATCCTTTAATTGTGAGAGTTCATGAAGATCTAACGGCGAAGTTCTCATTTGCAATCAATGAAAAGAATATTTTCAAGAAAATTAAGCATCAATTTAAAGGTAGAGCTTTGCAATGAAACCAGACAAATATGATATGATTCCAATAATTAGCAAAGACATACCAGAGGGTAGAGTAATGTTAAGAAACATTGTTAATTAAATATTAAAAATATGACAATTTTATGTCTCAATTGAAATATAAGGAGATAACAAATAGTTTAAAAGCACAAAATTCCATTCAAACAATACAAAACACGGACCCCTTAAACTTCAAAGATGGGATCAGGTGCTATAGAGGAGTAAACATCCCTTGCCGATCGGTGCGTCCGTCGTGTGCTCCATGTCATGTTCGGGAAAACCCGTCAAAAATTCAGTGTGTAAATAAAGGCCTAACAAGTCAGTCGAGCATTTGACTTTATGATAAATTGTACAAATTGTATTTGCTGACAAGATCAGTGTAACTTACGCCAATATACGTATTTGCTAACAATTCAAATCATTCTTACTTACGAATTGATGACTTTAAACAAGATAGTCGATATTCTTGCTTCTTCAATTTGTTTGTCAACAACTTACCTCTTTTTAGAAATTGCTTATAGGTAGAGGATGCTCTTGCGTTTCAGGTAAATAGTTAATCGTGTAAAAATCTACGATTACTTAAACATTTATCTCTATTTGATTTGCCCACGAAAATAAGAATTACATGTACATTGTTTTCAGAGTTGAAAACCCCAAGTTTTTGTTCATGCATATATATCAATATAATAATTATAGGTGTTGATAGACTATCGCATAGAAAATCGTTCTTTTCATTTGAGGATAAATAAAACTTAGCTGCAGAACTGTAGCGTTATGGTTTTATATGTTAGTTTTTGACAAAGACAAATATACATGTATAAATCCATAACGCTACAGTTCTGCAGCTAAGTAAAACCTAGTTGATGCGTATTTGGAAGATTTATCATGTTTATTGTAACTGAACATTGAACAAAAACGTTTTATAAAAACTAATTAAAAATTCTTAAGGTATCCGGGTGTATGTGAAAGGTGAAGCATTTGTCCACTGGACTGATCAGCGCATGCGTGGACCAGCTCCTTTGCGAACCCCTGGAACACGTCATCACTCGGCTCACGAAGAATACTTTGACTTCACAACGACAGTTCTTGGAAGCAATGGTATTGGACGGAATCTTACATACGTCACAAAATTGCTCTTACAGTTAAAAATGAAAAGACATAAATGTATTTCTACACGTTGTTTGATGTTTTTTTTTCTTTTATGTTTTTCTTATAGAAAATGATGCTCCAAAGTTAACATTACTACGAGGGAACTATTGTTACCCATTTCAGTTCCAGCTCCCTCAAAACCTCCCATCCTCATTTGAAGGGGAATATGGTCACGTAAGGTACACAATTAAAGGGACCATAGAAAAACCAAAGAGGTTTACCCACGTGACTAAAACTGCCTTTTCTGTGATTGGTCCACTGGACTTGAACACTTTTCCACAAATAGAAGTGAGTTCTACTGGTTGGTTATAAATGAGAGATATTTTAAAATTTTAACAGTTTTAATTAGGGTCAGGAATTTTCTTGTTTCAGTCTCCAACTGGCATGACGCTTACGAAGAACTTGTGTTGTTTATGTTGTACTTCTGGCCCCATAAGTGCTTTTCTGTCGCTTCCAAGAAGGGGCTATGTTCCAGGAGACATAATTCCCGTGACAGTCGAACTCGAAAATCTGTCAAGTCGGAAAATAGCAAGTTCGTCCATAACACTCACAATGGTACACGTAATATGTAATAAATTGTATTTTGACGACCTTCAATCTTTCTTTCTAGAGTCTTATTTTTAAATGACTCAAAATGGTATATAAATTCAAATTTCATTCTTATATTTTTTTTCAGACAACGAATTTTCACAGCTCTGACGAGTCTCGAACTGTAAGCACACAGATCGACAAAATCATGCATGGTTCAGTACCCCGGGGCACAACAAGCACGTGGGCAGACCAGGGGATTCCCCTTCCTGCACTCCCTCCCAGTTTTCTATTTGGATGTAACATTATAGATATACAATACAAATTAGAGGTACATAATAGGGTTACATATATACATGTAACTGTAGAATATGATCATATATTTAATTATTTCGATGTTTTTGTCTCTAGGCAACCTTTCAGATTAACTATAAGCGTAAGATTATATGTTTATTAAATAGAATTTCTATTCCTCGTAATTTTTATTCGGGATTAAAGGTGTTTGCCCTCCGAAATATTAAGGTTTGACTGTTTTGATAAATACGAACAGCTTCTCCGTGTGATCCTTGGTATCCTGGCGTAACCTTTATACAACAGGGGATACCTACTACCCCCTAGGTACCTGATCCCACCTTAAGAATTTCCAGAGGCTTTAGTTTATGCCCTGTTCACAAAGTAGTTTTTATGATGTCGACCATTGTTCATTATCTTCTCCGTTTTTATTAAACCTGCCTTGGCGCAAAACCAAAGCTGATTTGGACAATATACTTTAGACACACTTTCTGTTTCTGACATTTTGATTTCTAGCATATCTATTCAGATACCAAAAACCTTCCGTTATTAAAAATGAAATATTTTGGGAATTGATAGTTGTGTTATTGTGCAGGTGTAAATATATTTATAAGAAAATCTGTAACAGATGTTCTGAAAACTTAGATAAAATTCTTTGTAAAAAATCAGCCATCAGTGTTCTAGAGAGAGAGCTGATCGTTATGATACTGAAAGTACAGCGGGAAGAATTCATCGCTGAATGTTTAGTTTTGACAAATACATCTCCATGATCTCTAAGTCTTCAATTCGATACATCACTGAGTTGGATGTTCAATATACATATACTTCAACGATATACAGTAAAACTCGGTTATAACGAAGTAACGAGGAAATTTTTAAAACCAAGATTCTGAATTGGTATGAGGAAGTATTGAGCAAGTATTACTGTATAAGCGAGTATAACCAAGTTCTACTGTATATTTGAAGATCACCGAGTCTTAAATTTTCTTAATTAAAGTAAAGAAAATAAATTGCAGTGGATTATAAATTTGAAAAGTGCGTTCATAATACATCAAACAAACTTTTCTCCTTGTACTTTAAAGAATAAATGTATTCTTGTTTTAAGTTACGAGTGAATGCTGTTGGACCGTCTTTTGAGATGTATGTACCACTAGAAATCATTGTTGGAACCATGCCATTACGTTCTACCATGAGACCAATCCCACAATCGCCTCGACATGACTCAAGGTCACGGGGTCAACGATCCACGTCATCGCATGCTTCTTCGGATCAGTATGCTGGTGAGCTGATTTCAAAAATCCACTTGTGTTTCTCCATTCAGTCAATTATAATTTGGGTATTAACAAAGAAATAAATATTAAATTACAAAAAATCAATGCATGCAAAAACTCTGTAAAATAGGACAGCACGTAAAATACTTAATCAAATTCGAGTCAAAACACTTTTACCTTGAAAAGGGATTACTTAACAAATAGTAATTCTATTTATAGTATCACTGACCTATATGGAGTCCCGGTTGGGAGGGGTCTGTATTAAGGAAGAAGACGACCCTGAGGACATGAAGGGGGACCACCACTTCTCTCCTGTCTATCCGTACTACATATGGACGGACTGATGTAAAAGAACAACCCCACCATGCATTTGTGATTTCTGAATTGTCATAGCGCCACTGTTGTGTGATGGAAGACCTATTAGTGCTTCAACTTTTTGTCCAAACTTGTGACAAGAAGAGTAAAATCAAAATCACGACTTGTAATTCGGTTCCATTCCTCTTTATTGCAACATACTAGTAGTTTACGTGCGTTTATGAGACAAGATCAGGGTATATGCTAATGTTTTGTAATTATCAGTACCCTATGGACATTTCACTCCACTTAATCTGATGAAAAAAGGAATATATTTTTTCAGTAACTCACTTGAAAGAATAAAAGTGTACAAATATCATAACATAAAAGTGTTGTTTTAAGCCAAGTTTACAGAAAATACAACAGTGACCTGTTATAACAGTACCGAGCAAATCATCCAGACTGAAGTCCCCAAATAACTAAGTGTTTGTAGTCTAAATAGATTTACATATAAATAAATTTATTCCAATTCCCATTAATTTTACTCCGAAGGTGTAGATGAAGCATCCGAATCAATGATGCTGAGTGGAAGTCAAATTCACAGGCTTGTTAACCCTGGTTCTTTTTAAGAGACCCTGTGGTGAGCCACAGGAGTCTGAAGGTTTTATTGTCATAAAAAAATGCGGGTAAGAATTTTAACACCCTCAAGTAAAATTTTAGTTGAGGGTGGGAAATTTTTTTGCCTGATTTTTTTTTCGATAAAAACTTAAGACTCCTAGGGGTGAGCATACCAAAGGCAAACTATCAAATTTCTAGCTCATGCAGTTCTAAGGACATTGTTAAAGATGAAGTCATACAGTCTGTAAGTCTTCCTTTAGTACACTTTACATTATGTAGAAAGTTCATCAATGAACAGCTGTGATCCAAAGAAAAAACAAGAGGCCCAGGGGCCTTATAGGTCACCTGAGTATCATGTAACAACTTTCCAAAAATCGAATTTGGTTCTGTTTTAAACCAGAGGCCATGAAATTCACAATTTTGAAAGAGGCACCATTGCTTATCATAATTATATACTTAACACGCTTACTCTATTTACTTAATACCCAGAGGTAGATCAGAGTAAAAAAAGAGAAAATGCACTTCCACTTTGTAACCCGTTGTGCACCCCACCCCAAAGAAACCACTGACCCAGGAGCTACATATTTCAAAATTTTGAAAATTTTATCCTAATTTTACTTCATCATAAATGGTTGATTATTACCTAAGAGCAGATTTCAAAGCATTAATTTATTTTCAGACTATGTAACCCTCCTCCCCCCCCCAACCCCCCCACCCCCCGATCCAGGGGTATGAAATTAACGATTTTGCTAGATGCACCTTTCTTCATCCTAAATAAATATACTTGGATCATTAGCATAACACCCAGGAGCAAAGGAAAAGATTTTCAAAGAAGTAATGTATTTTCACTAAATAATCAAAAGACCCCCCCCCAACTTTACACCAAATGGCAAAACCCCTGATACAGGGGCCAGGAAATTCACCAATTCGGTTGAGGCATTATAACTTTATACTAAGTTAGTTTATTTAATGATAAGGAGCAGAGAAGAAGATTTTAAAAGAATTAATGCATTTTCACTATATAATCAATAGAACCCTGACTCAACACCAGAACCCCTGACCCTGGGGCCATGAAATTCACAATTTTGGAATAGGCACTTTTGCTCATCATAACTATGTACTTAGTTAGTTTATTTAATACCCAGGAGCAGAGAAGAAGATTTTGAAAGAATTAATGCATTTTCATTATATAATCTATAGAGCCCCGCCCTAACACCAGAACCCCTGACCCTCGGGCCATAAAAGTCACAATTTTGGAAGAGGCACTCTTGCTCATGATAACTATGTACTTAGTTAGTTTATTTAATACCAAGGAGCAGAGAAGAGGATTTTCAAAGAATTAATGCATTTTTACTATATAATCAATAGAGCCCCGCCCTTATACTAGAACCCCTGACCCTGGGGCCATAAAATTTACAATTTTGGAAGAGACACTCTTGCTCATCATAACTATGTACTTTGTAAGTTTATTTAATACCCAGGAGCAGAGAAGAAGATTTTTAAAGAATTAATGCATTTTCACTATATAATCAATAGAGCCCCGCCCTAACACCAGACACCCTGACCCTGGGGCCATAAAATTCACAATTTTGGAAGAGGCACTCTTGCTCATGATAACTATGTACTTAGTTAGTTTATTTAATACCAAGGAGCAGAGAAGAAGATTTTCAAAGAATTAATGCATTTTTACTACATAGTCAATAAAGCCCCACCCTAACACTAGAACCCCTGACCCTGGGGCCATGAATTTCACAATTCTGGTAGAGGACTCAATGCTCATTACATTCATGCTAACAGTTTGCCTGCTTGATGTCCAGGAGTAAAGAAGAAGATTTTTGAAGATTGCAATAATTTTAGTGGTTTTGGCCCCACCCCTCAGGCCCCAGGAGGCAGGGACCATGAAATTCACAATTTATGTCCCCCTTCACCCATAGATGCTGTATACCAATTTTGGTTGAAATTGGGTCAGTGGTTTCAGAGAAGAAGCTGAAAATGTTCAAATGTTAACACACGACGCACGACGACGGAAGAAAACGGATAGCAATAGGTCACCAGAGTGACTCAGGTGACCTAAAAAGATTTGCTTGAAAATAAATTATCTTGCTGAGTTAACATACACCACAAAAATCAAATTTATACTAGTGTGACTCATGCAGGTTCAATAGTTGGTTACCATATAAGTAAATGGTGAAGCACTTGGTTATCTGGGGCTCGAATCCTGGATTGGTTCATCCCATTTTACTCTGATTTTAATTTAGTGCCGTGACCAGGATCCAGAATTAATGGAAAAAGAGTCTGGGTTTGTATCTTACATGTATCAGGCAAAGAGACCTTAGTGATGATCAAGCGGCTTTGATAGCCAAAGAGCTCATTTGATACAGCACTTGTTAAAAATTCGTAGTGACAGGTTTTAATCTTTTTTGGTCATCTGTTGGTTCACGCATCCTTTATGTTTATACAAACCAATGCATTTTTAAAGGTACTTGGACACAGATTTGAAGTTAATATTTTCTCATTTTTTCTGTATAATATCACGAATTATATATTTTAATAGCATTTCACACAAAAATTAATTAAAAATCTTATTTCATTTAAAAGTTATTAAAACTTTAAATTTTTTGGCAGGTTTGATTGACACATCCTTGCACTTTCACAAATTTTAACTTTATTCTTAATCCTTAGGAAAAGTGGCAATTTTTATGTGTTTTAATGAGAAATATTAAAACTTTTATCAAGAAAAATAATTTTATTCAGAGTAGAAATGTTAGAAAGCAAAACACCTTCACAAGTATCGTCATTCCGAACTAAGAGATGCGTACAGAGTTTAGCAAATCGAGCACACTCTTGTTATGTACACAGTTTTTGTAAACAGGGCTCGAGTTCTGTTATTGTTTATATTTAGAATTCACCGGGTGCGTTCAATGTCACAGTCTGCTTACCACAACTGCACGGACTGACAATATATTGTGTGTTTGTTTTGCTTTCGAACGTGTCTACTCTGAATTTTCTGGATTATAGTATTAATATTTTTCATTTATACAAAACGAGATTGCCACTTTTCCTAAGGATTAAGAATAAAATTAAATTTGTGAGAGTGCAAACCCGCCGAAAAATTTGAAATTTCAATATCTTTTAAACGAAGTAAGATTTTTAATTAATTTTTGTGTGAAATGCTATTAAAATATATCAGTCGTAATATTATAGAGAAAATAATAACTTCAAATCTGTGTCCAAGTACCTTTAAATTTCCTTCAAGAATAATTAAATGCCATAAAGTTTTAAAAAATGTATTCCCACATTTTTTGTACAATATACAAAGAAAATGAAGTAAAATTCATGATTTCTTCAAATCCCTATATCTGAAAAACATGGCTGATGTGAATGATATAATGTCCTTGAAATTAATTTCTGATAATGATTGCGATCACAAGACAACAGTAAATGGTCAATATAAAGCACTAGTCCACTAGAACTTGAACTCTTTGTATTTTTTCGCTGCTTTCCCACCATCCTGTTGTTGTTTCTTTCTTTTCTGAAAAACAAGAGCACAAACATGATTGAAATACATCTGTGCCGACATGTTAATACATGTATATAAAGAGATAATTTAAACAATTTTATGCTAATGCCTTCTTCAATATAAGGAAAATGTATAACTGTCAAAACTGGTTTAAAGTTTATTTCTGAAATGATTTTCTCCATTTTTAGCATAAAATTTTTTCAAAATCAGCTGGATTTTTTATGATATGCATAGATATGTTACTTCTTTTACTTTTATTAAAACAAGATTTCAGGTTTTTTTTTCTAAGAATCTACAAAATCATGACTGTTCTTTACAAGTAAATGTAAATATGCATAATTAAAGCTCTAAATGGCTGAATTATAAAAGAAAATACATGGAACTAAAGACCTATTAATAACTCATGACTGCTTGTAAGAAGTAAAGGGTAAAATACCTTTTGTTTGGCTGCGTGTTCAGCCACCATATCACTCAGATCCTCCTTCTCCAGCTGTGACTGCTGCTCCCTCATCGTCTGGTCGTACTTAGCCTGCATGGCGGCCGTGTCCAGGTCTAACTCCTCGGGATTCAGCGCCACCTCTATACCCTCTGTACCAGGCTTGTCTTTCTTACCAGCTGTTACCTATAGAGAGCAAATAAAAATGATAGTTTCGTCATTTAAATCATGGACTCTACAATGGAATAATTATTGCTTGTTCATATATTTCATGGTCCAGCCTTATCCGTAGAATGATAATTTTGACAATGTATCAGTTCAGTGAATTTTAAATTTGTTGGTAGCAACTTGTTAAATTACTTCCCAAAAATCGCTAAAATTTTGTTTGCCCATTAACACTGCTATCACAATGTGTAGTAAATACTAGTACTTACAGCTGTAGTGTCATATACGTGGGCGGATCCCATCATAGCTCCACCCACTGCTGCCTTTTTCTCTGGTAAGATGGTGTAGAGAGCTGGTGTTTCTCCTCCCTGATCCATGGCATCCTCTATCCTCTTCTTCCTCAGTTCAATCATGTCAGGGGTCTCCATTCCCATTGGTACAGAGGTTATTCCACTGGGAGTCACCAGACTGAAAAATACAATTTACTCCTTTACAACAAATTTGCTTTACATACATGTAATTAATTTTTTTAAATTCAATCTTAGTCTGAAATCAAAAACTCATGATTCCTTCATATCAGTATGATATACTAATTTGCTTAATTTATTTCAATCTCCATCTGTTCAAAAACTTACAAAAATCTAAAAAAATTAATTTAAGAGAGGCCCTTAAAATATTTTTTCCTTGAAACCAATGGTGTTGCTAACCTTATAAAAGCAACAAGAGGCCCAGGGGCCACATCGCTCACCTGAGCAATTGGCTAGGAAAAAGCACACATGACATCAGATCAGAACTGAAAGTTTACTGAGGGGGGGGGGGGGGGGGGGGGGGGGTCTTGAATTATAACCCCCCAGGGGGTCATGATTTGAACAAACTTGAATCTACACTACCTGAGGATGATTCCCTATAAATATCACTAAGCATGGCTTTCAAGTACTTGAAAAGAAGATTTTTAAAGGTTTCCCTAGATATTCCAATGTAAAACTTTTATCGGCCATTTGGCCCCACTCTACTGCCGGGGGTCATGATTTGAATAAACTTGAATCTACACTACCTGGGGATGATTCCACATGAGTTTCATCTTTCCTGGTCCAGTGGTTCTTGAGAAGAGGATTTTTAAAAGATTTTTCCTATATATTCCTATGTAAAACTTTGATCGGCCATTTTTGCCCCACCCTACCCCAGGGGGTCATGATTTGAACAATCTTGAATCTACACTACCTGAAGAAGATTCCACATGAGTTTCATCTTTCCTGGCCCAATGGTTCTTGAGAAGAAGATTTTTATAGATTTTTCCTATATATTCCTATGTAAAACTTTGATCGGCCATTTTGGCCCCACCCTACCCCAGGGGGTCATGATTTGAACAATCTTGAATCTACATTACCTGAGGATGATTCCATATGAGTTTCATCTTTCCTGGCCCAGTGGTTCTTGAGAAGAAGATTTTTAAAGATTTTTCCTATATATTCCTATGTAAAACTTTGATCGGCCATTTTGGCCCCACCCTACCCCTGGGGGTCATGATTTGAACAAACTTGAATCTACATTACCTGAGGATGATTCCATATGAGTTTCATCTTTCCTGGCCCAGTGGTTCTTGAGAAGAAGATTTTTTAAAAATGTCATTAATTTTTCTCTAATTCATAATTATCTCCCCTTGGAAAAGGGCGTGGCCCTTCATTTGAACAAACTTGAATCCCCTTTACCCAAGGATACTTTGTAGCAAGTTTGGTTGAAATTGGCCCAGTGGTTCTTGAGAAGAAGATGAAAATGTGAAAAGTTTACAACAACGACAACAACGCCAACGCCAATGACGACAACGACAACGACAGACAACGGACAAATTTTGATCAGAAAAGCTCACTTGAGCCTTTGGCTCAGGTGAGCTAAAAAGAGGATAAGATAACTTTTTAAGGTAGCTTACCCCTCTGGTCCTGGAGTAACCAGTCCTGAGGTGTCCTCCTCCTCCTCTTCTTCTTCTTCTGACTCCTCTTCTGAGGAAGACTCCTCCTCCATTTCTCCCCACAGAGATTTGTCTATTTCCTCCTCTTGTATTGGAGTCTGCAAAGAATACAGGTAAAATACAAAAAAAAAAATGCGGCATAAACTTTTAAGCATCAATATCCAAGATTCAATCATTTTTTAATTCATTTAAAACACCTTATTTTACTGCTGCATGATTAATAACTGACCTGGAATTCTGAACTCTGTGTTCCAAACACATCACCATACAGTGGTTTACCATTTTCATCCACAGGTGGTTTACCCCAACCACCTGCATGGTATCCAAATGAACAACCCTAAAACAAGAATTCAAAGATTAAGATTAAAAATGTTATAACAAGATTCAAACCTAGTGTAAAATTGTGGCACAGCTGTAATGTCCACTCAGTGGAGGTTTTCATTATGCATACCTCAGGTATGGGTGCACTCAGTCCAGGTATTTTCAGGTTGGGATATGAGGGTGGAGGTCCGTATCGCTGCATGGCAATCAACCAGGGAGGAGGAAACTTCTCAGAATTCTGTTACAAAATACATGAAAATCTTATTGAACAACCACAGTACATGTACATAAGAAGAAACATATTATTATTCTTCAACAAAACTTGCATGTTCAAGTACTCAAGTTCGATCACAAGTTCACAACAGAACTCATGTAAATACAAGTATTAAAGGTTTGATTTCTTTATACATTGTATTTTCTTCTTTTTTTTCTTGTTGAATAAAACAGTGGGCTTACATGTCCCAGTGGCATTCCTAAAGCAGTTTTCAACTCATCTGAGAGATTTCCTGGCTTTTTCTCTTTCAGTCTGGTTTCAAATTCTTTTCCCTATTTAATATCACAAAAAATATATATTTTAACTTAACTTGCTAGTTTGCAAATAAAATTTGACCCATATCAGCAAGTTGTGGGAGTGGAATATACGTGTACATAATCTTTGACTCATGTTCCAACAGACTTCAACTTAATTAAAATTTCCAAAATAAAAAAAATCATCATAAAATTGTGTTTTCAATATTAAGCTTTGTAATGAATTCATTTACTGCAAACTTGAATAGCAAGTTTTTTTTTCAATAGAACTGTAATCTGCAGCAGTATCAAACAAAGTAAATCCCAATAATATCACTTGACAGCCTACCTCATAATACAGATCTCCATGAATGGTCATCTTGGGTTTGGTCTGCCAGCGGAAGAAGGCGTCGTGAAGTTTTTGGTAATCGATGTCAATCTTTCCCATCTTCGGTCGCACCTTCTCCCTCATCTTGGCCTTCAAATTCTTCTGATCCTCCTGTATATAGCAAAATGAATATGCATTTTTATATTTCCATTACATTATTGAGAATGTATACTGTAAATGTATTACATTTGGCGTGTACGATATTTGGCGGAAATTCAATTTTCAACAAGTTGGCACAGATTTGATTTAGCGCTGTCTGAATTTGCTATTTATAAAAGTTAATATACAAGACATTTAGCAATGTACTTGAATTAGCGGACTCTGCTTTCCGCCAAAATCGCTAAATAGAATACACCCCTTAATGTAATACGTTTACAGTATATGATGTAAAAAAGAAAAATCATCCTAGTTACTTGGGATTAAAACAGGATGTTGGATAAACAAGCATCATTTTCCTCTTTAAGAAAGAATTGCTAGGATACTCTGTGTAAGGTATTTGTGTAAAAAAAACCCAAAAGATTCCCTTCTCAATATCTTACATTGAGAATATTAGGTACTTTTTGACTAACAAAAGTAAATAAACATAGGTAATCAGAGATTACAGAGCTCACCTCAACGAATGTTGTCTTTAAGTAAGGCAAAGTCACACAATTAACCAAAAAAAAAGTGTACATTCCAAAAATGAAAATATTTAAGCAATTTTGATCTGATACTTTGAAATAGACCTACATAAAAAATTTAAACTAGTTCTTCTTAATGAAAATGTAATCAAAATCCAGCATCTGAAGCAAATTTGAGATTTTCATCTCTTGATGCAACATTTGTGCAAGTTCGGTTTATACTATGTTATATGAGCGTAATAGACCTGCAACCATAACTTTTACCTGGTCTATTATCTGAAAAATGTATGACAAATTCAGCATCCGAAGCAAGTCCATTAGTGTGCATCCTAAGATGTATCGTCCATGCAAGTTTGCTCATTATAGGGCTCATAGTTAATTGGAAATGAAACGTATTAAAAACTAACATTTTCAGTCATCCACAAAAAGTAGGTCAGATTCAGCATCTGAAGCAAGCCTGGTAGTATGCATCCTTAGATGTATCATCCATGCAAGATTGGTCAACATAGGACTTATAGTTACTTGGAAATGAAACCTGCACCAAAAACTTTAACCTGTTCACTCAACCAGAAAATGTAGGTCAGATTCAGCATCCGAAGCAAGCCCAGTAGTGTGCATCCTTAGATGTATCATCCATGCAAGTTTGGTCAACATAGGGCTTAAAGTTACTTGCAAATGAAACCTGCACCAAAAACTTTAACCTGTTCATTCAACTGGAAAATGTAGGTCAGATGCAGCATCCGAAGCAAGCCCGGTAATATTCATCCTTAGATGTATCATGCATGCAAGTTTGGTCAACATAGGGCTTAAAGTTACTTGCAAATGAAACCTGCACCAAAAACTTTAACCTGTTCATTCAACTGGAAAATGTAGGTCAGATGCAGCATCCGAAGCAAGCCCGGTAATATTCATCCTTAGATGTATCATGCATGCAAGTTTGGTCAACATAGGGCTTAAAGTTACTTGCAAATGAAACCTGCACCAAAAACTTTAACCTGTTCACTCAACTGGAAAATGTAGGTCAGATTCAGCATCCGAAGCACGCCTGGTAGTATCCATCCTTAGATGTATCATCCATGCAAGTTTGGTCAACATAGGACTTATAGTTACTTGGAAATGAAACCTGCACCAAAAACTTTAACCTGTTCACTCAACCGGAAAATGTAGGTCAGATTCAGCATCCGAAGCAAGCCCGGTAGTATGCATCCTTAGATGCATCATCCATGCAAGTTTGGTCAACATAGGGCTTATAGTAACTTGGAAATGAAATCTACACCAAAAACTGCACCAAAAATGTTAACCTGCTCCAAAAACATTAACCTGGTCATTCCTTTGCTGAAACTGCAGCATCTGAAACTTTGAATGGTACAATGAAACACAGTAGAACCATCTTCCATGCATGTCTAATCAATATAGGACATAAAAGTACTTAAAAAGAAAACTGCTCCAAAAAACTTAACCTTAACCTGGGACGCCGACGCCGACACGGACGCCGACGCCGACGCCGACACCGACGCCGACGCCGAGGGTATTACATAAGCTCCCCCAACTTCGTTGAGGTGAGCTAAAAATTAAATCCTATTTAACCTTTTCAGCAAGAGCCTCTCTCATCTCCATAATGCCAGTTGCCTTAATGTAATCAGGTAATTCAAATGGTGATTTCTCGATACCCCTTTTGCCCTGGAGGTACTTCCTTTTGAAGCACCAGTGTCGAGGCACGGGGACAGTGTTCCTCGTGGCCTTCAGGTGGACCAGCAGGCGGGGGTCTTGGGCGGTGACGTCATGCATCTCCACCACGTCTGGCCGACTGACCAGCTGTTTCAGCTGAGCCACGCTGAGTCGAGTCATCTTCTTCAGTTTCTTTTTGGACATCTTCTGAGGTTCTTCCTCCTCCTTCTTGACCTAGTTTATTAAAACAAAAAATATTGTCATCTTCCTTTACATAAATTATATTCTCCTATTCTAATGAATACTGTGAAATCATTATGTCTTGTGTAGGAATTCAATCTTTTTCCTATAAAATGTAAAATTTCATACATATACAAACATCTATAACAACTGAATATTTTCATCAACAAATCAAATCCCCATGAATCAATATTTTCCCCTCAAACCACAAAAAGCTGACCCCATAAAAATAACTGATTTTCAGTATGGCCAAAACCTCTTTCTGAGTATTTGCTATCAAAGACCCTTATACATCTTCCCAATTTCAAAACATGTACTTGGAATTGAAGATTTTAAAGACTTACTGGGGCTTCCTCATCGCTATCCTCATCCTTATCTTCTTCCTCCATCTTCTTTGGAGCATCATCCTTCTTCATCTCATCTTTTTTGTCAGATTTATCATCCTTCTTTTCCTCTGAGATCTATCATTAGAATAAAGAGGTGAATTAAATGGATTTATTTCTTATGATCTTTCTTAACTTGTGGTGTTACATGTTACATAATTTTAACCTGATTCGTTACACAACTCACCTTGAAGGCTTCAAAGATTTTTGCAAAAGTGAAATAATTTGGATCAGTTGGATCAAGCTCAAGCTGTTCTGGAACATATCTGTTAAAAAAAGGATAATGAATGAAAGCTGTAAAAGGTACTGTACACAGTATTCTACCATTTGTCTGCATTTTGCAGAGATAAAACATGCCACTGATATTCTGATAGTAGAAGATCAAGCATACTAACTCCACATGTACATCCTCGTCGGGCCTCTCCACCTGTTCTTGTAGTTGCTGCTGCTGCTGCATTAGGCGGTTCTTCTTGGCTTTCTTTTTCTTCTTCTTCTTTTTCTTGTTCTTGGACTGTAAAATATTGGGAAATGTTTTAGATTATTTCTCAACCAGTGAGAGAAATACATTTTATCTTTAAAGCTATGTGAACCCCTAAAGTATACTGTACATCACTAAATTTTTGTAACATCTTATTTTCGTAGGATAGTCATTGACTCTTAATAAGCGAGACAGAACATTTATGATTTGACATTTGTGAATACTACTTTATGTGAGAATGGAATTTTCACATGCACACTGTCTCACATAAATACGCGAAAATAAAATTATCGTAAATAAAAGGTGATATATATTAATTAGTATTGTATGTATGTAATCATAATGTGGTACCTCTTTAGCACCACCCGTTTTGGTGGCTTCTTCATCCTCTTCGTCCATGTCATACGTTCCATACCCAACATCCTCACTAGCATCTTCATCATCAGCGTCACGTTCTGTATTAGTAAAGAAGACATTTAATTGCATTGTTCATTAACCATTTATGGCTCTCTAACTCTAATATTTAAAAATTTCTGAATACTAGCATGCAGTTATTCACACATTTTACGTGCAGCATCACATTGCATTTCTCAACATTGAAGATTATAACGTACAATTTCTGTGTGTTTTTTCCCAAGTTATTCTGAATAAATGTGAAACAAATTCATATATTTCTCATACCCATAGGTGTGTTCATCTGTTCGATTTCCTCATGGGTAACACCCACTTCCTGTGCCCTCACATCTTTAAAAGCTAACACCTTCTCCAAGGCTTGTGGCAATTTGATTTCTTTAGATGATCCAGATTCCAGCTTAAAAAGAACAGAAATCTCTCAAGAAGGTACATGTATTAATTAATGCAGAGGAATTGAAACATTATCTATATGCATAAAAGACTATTTCAATTGGCAATTCCTAAAAACTTGATTAATTTTAAATGCTTTTTAAGTTTACTTGAGGAGGGGGTAGTTTCTCCTCTGAAGGGGCAGAAGTTGGGGGTCGCTCTGGGGGTTTTGGTTGAGAAGACACTGGCTGGGTGCCAGGTGGAGGGGGCCCCTGGTGCATCGGAGGGTGAGAGACAGGAATTTGTGTCCCTGGGGGCACTGTCTGGGTCCCAGGAGGAAGAATGCCTAAAATAAATGATTAAAATACAGTCATCTATAACCTATCTAAAAATGCTTTTCTATTTATCTTGTAAAAATTTCAGCAATCTGTCCATATACATTTAGCTTAACATCATATTGTCAACGTTGTTCATAATTATTATCATTTTTTAAAAACAAAGTTCAATTTGAATGAAATGAAAAATTCCACCTTGCTGAGCCCCAGCTGGCATCATTGGCATTGGAGCCACAGGAGGCCTTTGTGGTGGTGCTATAGTACCAGGTGGTACAACTGGTGCTGTCATGGGGACCTGTGGTGGCATTCCACCTTGTGGGGGCATTCCGCTTTGTGGTGGCATACCACCTTGTGGGGGCATTCCACCTTGCGGGGGCATTCCTGGTGCTGCTTGCATGGGAACTTGTGGTGGCATGCTGGCTGGGGGCTGGGGCATACCACCCTGTCCCTGGATGTTCATAGGAACAGCTCCCTGCTGAGGGGGCACTGGCTGGGCAGGTGCCATCATTCCTGGGGGAGGGGGAACCACTGCTGGCTGCATGGGTGGCTGTGGGGGAGCAACATGCATGGGAGGAACTGAAATGATAATTCAATGTACATGTACTTTTATGTTAAAACATCCAATTGTTTAAAAAATTAAGCCAGTTTTAAAATTAATTCTTGCTATTAAAATTGGAATTGTGATTTCATTTCTTTCCCCCTGTTCATCCAACTTGTGGTAGCAAGAAATACATGTATCTCGAAATTTTCACAATACAATTCAAATGTGAATTTTCTCAGATTTTCAATACAATTTAAGTTTGATTTTTTTTCTATCTCACCTGGTGGTGGCTGCTGTTGCTGTTGCTCCTGGATGCGTTTTTCCTGAGCCTCTCTCTGGGCTTCCATCAGGGCAATCTGTTGCTGACGCAAAAGTTCTGCCTCCTTCATACGGCGATCTTGTTCTGCTTGATTTATTGCCTGTTCTTGCATCTGCCTCATCTACACAACAGATAAACATCACATCACATTATTAATGCATAACAATACAGTATGTCTTGCAAATAAGAAATGGAGTTAGATAACTGTATGCAAGGAAATTTTTCCTCCTTATGACTTTCTTTGCAAGTGGGCAAATTTAAAATCAGGGACTTCAGAGAATTCACTTGAAAGTTCCAAGAAATGAAGTTTTCTCTTCAACACAACTGGGTAAAAATAAATCATGGATAAATTTTTGCATGTCTGATTGGTTGAAAAAAAGCAATGGAAAATAATAAACCTGAACACAGTAATAACTTTTAGCACTGTTGACAAATCAGGGGGACTTACTGTCTGTTGTTTCTCTATCTCAATCATGACCTGTTGCTGTCTGACCTTCTCCATCAGGTCACCGCTGGGAGGGACGGGGCCAGAAGAAGGCCCCCCTCGCTGACTCATCAGGATGGCCTGCTGGGCCAGGGCTGCTGCCTCCTTCTGTTTCTGCTCCTCCTCATTAATTAGTTGTGTCTGTATGGCAACCTTCCTCTGGAACTCCGAGTCTGAATCTAGATTCTACAACCAAGGAAGTGCATTATACTGGCATAAGTCTTTTGCATTTTCGATACAATATTCTTGCATCAAATCTCTAAAATTTTGTTAATTTAAACTATTTGATATAAATGATCTCCAGGATGAATGAATTTAAATTTCGCTGACCCTTTGATAAGGGAGATAACTCTTCCTGGCATAATAACATTTCTTTAGAGAAAAAACTTTTGTCGAAATTTGCACAGCAAGATATGCTGCATTTTGCTGAAGTTTTCTTTGCATGTCAATAGAATTTAGATAATTAGTAAATCCTTAGCAATGATTCAAAGTTTGACATATGTAAATAGAGGAAAGTTAAACATTCAAGGGAGATAAAAGACTCACATCTGCAGGCTTAGGAGGACCTGGAGGGGGTGCTCCTTGGAATGGCTGTCGAGGGGGAGGCCCTCCCATCGGGGGTCCCGGTATCATCTGGGGTGGACCTGCTGGTGGGGGAGGGGCTGTTTGACCAGCTGGCTGGGGAGGGGTGGGCTGCCCTGGTGGAGGCTCTTCAACATCCTGTAAAAATTATTGCTGCAATACACTTAAAAGCACAATAAAATTTAGGAGCATGTTTTTCTTCTACAAGTACTTAGTACTTACTGAAAATCTTTCCTTTTCATTCAATTATCAAATTAAAAAAATCCCTTTGTTATAATATTAGTCAGAATTGAATTATTCTAAAATTCTCCCTCATGTGTATACATGTAGAAGTTTCTCTACAGTGCTCTTTATTTTGTCAATAGATATACTAAATTGAATTAGAAAACTTCAAATAAGCAATTAGAAAAAATGTATAGGTAAAACTTACCTCATAGTTGCCATCTGAAATGCAATAAAACAAGCACGTGTATGTATTAATAGCAATATATTTTATATCAAAAGTTCTGGGTACCTCCTTCAATTTTAAGCAACCAGCATATTATTAGATTAAACAGAAATGAAACAAAGGGGGGAGGGGGAGAAGATTTCACCACAATGAAAAAAAAATACAGATACTATATACTTTAAGATGTTCTGCTAAAGATAAGCCAAGAAAAAAAACTTCTTATACATGTATTATGTTTGATTACAATTGTATTCATGCAATGAAAGAGTTGGATCAACATGATAAAAGAAGAGTCTGAAACAAAGACTACCCTGGTATATGGTTTATTCTACTCTAGTCTTATCTCTCACCTGTTCTTTCTCCCTCTTTCTTAATATTTTGGGAAGTCTGCAAGATGAGAAAGAAATGTATCTTCAAAAACATTTCCTGTGTGTTCAACAGCTAATACAAATTTTTATGTTCAATAGTTAATATTTCATAAATATTTAACACAAACATTACCTCAACTTTATAATTGTAAAGTCTTTCAATCAAATCGGCCTTTAATCCTAAACGAAAAAGAAAAAAAACATATCAAGAATCAATGAGAGAATATTTGATAAATCAAAAACACGTTCAGCATTCTGATTATAACATAAATACATGACCCGGTCATGGTCTAAACCTTGACTGATGATTAGACTCAAATACAAATGGATTTACGTAGAAGACTTGTAATTGCCACAACTTTAAAATAATGCATGAATGTTGAAATAATTTTTTTTTTATTTAATCTGTCATAGTTAGATCTGGGACAGAAAATATGTGGATGACATTATGGCTAAGTACTGGTTTTCATTAGACAGATTTATGCATTGATGCTAAATTGTTGAATAGGTCTTTTTCAATAATATGTTTTACGGCATGACTGTTTGGGAAAGCGCAGTCCTATACAAAGTTTACAGTTGAATACTGTAAACCAACTTTTATTCGCGACGACTTTATTTCGCGATTTACCAAGGATAAACTAGTTCACGGCGATTAATGTTCACGATCAAGCCTTTTTTGATCTGTTGGTAATAGACACATGCACTTTAAGGACCGGTTCGCGGCAAGAAATATTCGCGATGACGAGGATCTCGCGAACTTCGCGAAAATTTCTCGCACGCGAATAAAAGTTGGTTTACAGTAGTTGATCCACCTCTTCAAATGTCAAACTGCACAAAGCACAGCCTAGACTGTGATGTCGGAATTTACGGAGAGAGCCAGGCATCAAGTTGAACGAGACTGCAGGTCTTGTGCAATATTTAAAGAAAAATGTAGAGTAGATGGAAATATTTTTGGTACTTATTTCCCTTGTGCGAATAAAGAAAAGTATTAAATAAATAAACATATTTTGGTAAAGAACAATTTGTTCTTGGTCTTTCGTACAATTTAAAAATATTTTTGCATGGAATTATGGTAGCAAAGGAATTCTGGGAATGTTGCATGGGAAAATTGCCTGACATATGTACAGAATTCATTCAGAATTTCCTCTGTTCTTACACGTTAGTCTATTGAGCTCACTTTGTGAGCGTTGCAAAGCTGCGCTTGGTATTATGTAAAAAAACCTGTGCAGCAAGTAGCACAAAGCCCAACTAGCACTTAGAGCTCTAATGACAATGCCTTGACAAAGAGAAATCTGCAGGTGCTTGGGTCTTGGTTTATAGCAAGTGCAGCGAGCAGCACGAAGCGTTGTTTGTGAAGCAAGCTCAATAGGCCAACATGTAAGAACAGAGGAAGTGATATATACATCAAGCAAATTTTCTTGTGAAACCTTCCCAGAATTCCTTTACTACCAGGAATCTTATGCGATAAAGACAAATGAATTCCAGTTAGTAGAAAGCTTCAAAGACATAAGAAAAAAATATTCTAAAATGCCTTTCATTAAAAATTGCACTAGGCCTATTAGTATAGTTTCAACTAGACGCTTGGCTTCTCCGTAAACTCTAGATAAAACGTTCTATCGTTAAAATGATATTGTCCAACGAACCTGGTTTAACAATAGAATTTGTTCTGTGTATTCGTAATGTAGCAAAAGAAACACAGGCGATAACTCGTACTCAGTGATTTACTACGGACAATCTAGAGAGTTCTGAATGTAAACATGGCAGGTAAATTTGAAGCGAGAGAAAAACATTGAGAAAATTAATTGGATTTTCGTCTTTATATGGATTATTCTTGGGGATAAAAGACATAAGCAATCTCAAAAAGGTTTGTTTTGATTAATTTGGTAGTTATCCTTTTATTTTCTTCAAAATTGTTTCGGAGCAGATCCGCTCCAATTTGCTACATTGAAAGTATATGGGATGTATTCTAACTGTGGTAAGGGCTTGTACCGAGACACAGTTAGATTATTCTAACTACATAAACATGATAAACTCTGATGAGCTCCGTGCGACTTGACTTTTGAAGTGGCTGATCAACATTACAAGTGTATTTTAGATGGTACAACTGCACTCGCCTCAACTGTCACATCATAAAACATACTGAATATGTATTCCTTATATGAAAACAAAGTGTTTTACATTTAGTGTGTGTATATATACATATAATAACGAGCGCAGCGAGCGTCGCGAAGCGACGCTCGCGAAGCGAGCTCAATAGACTAACGTGTATGAACAGAGGAAATTCGGATTGAAATCTGTACATACGTCAGCCAAATTTCTCTGTGCAACATTCCCAGAATTCCTGCACTACCCAATGTCCTTTGCGCGAATAAATCAAAAATAGTAAAAAAATTAAAGGAACATTGTTTCTTACCGAAATCTTAACGAAATGATTTTGCCTTACCTTATTCAAAAAAAATACCCCCATGCCACAACACCGGCCTTCACCTTGCCCTTCGGAAATGATACAAATGACGTCACCGGAAACTTACGAATTTTGACGAAGTTATGTCGGTTGCTTCCGTGAGACTCAAAACATGTTGCAGTGCATAGCAACATGGTGGCTAAAACACAGCAACAACTTACTTGAAAAGAACGATTTAATGCAATCTCTTCTCCATAAAACTAGCGTTTGCATCCTAAGTCAACAGAACTTTTTATCTGACGTCATACTTTCGTCACTTCAACAGTTCGGGTATTTCCGATTTTGTCGGAAACTTCCGAGAAGTTTGGAATCTCGATCCCGATGCTTGGGAAATGATTTCTTTTTATTGTTTTGTTTTATTCTTTTTGCTTTCTTTTTCTTGAATGATAGACAGTACATGTGTAGGTTTATGATAGTAAATAAACTGCGCTCGCCCCAACGGTCACACCGTAAAACATATTATTTATCTGTTTATAAACAAAGACCAAAGTAACTGTAGTCAGTTTGATAAAAGTTGACTAATTTAACATTTATCATACAGGCAAAATGTTAAAATAGTGAATAACATAAATCAATATATAAAAAAAATATGAGATAAATGAAAAAAAAAAATAGGGAGAAATACACAAATAACTAAACGTCCCTCCAACGATATAACCTGTGTGTGGAGAATACCTCCATGCATCAAGTCGTGACGCTTCAATATTGGTTCTTGGTTTATCATACAACTTATGCAAATAGCTACAAACCGTTAACTGGAAGTCCAATTCCTGATAATATTTCCTTCAATTCTACAACTTTAAACTTTTTATATTCTTCGATGTTATCGGGAAGCGACTCCATGTTGTTCAATTAATATTTCTAACATCTCGAACCCGATTTTGAGTTAAAAGGATTACATGTACATGTATTTATATTGATATGTGCTACTTTTATTTGTTCTTTATATATCTTTTGTCAAGCATTGCTATATGCTACAGATTCATTTATAATAACACCTAAAAATGTGAGTGTCCGAACTGTCATTTCATAAAGTCGGGTTTGACATTTGAAAAATATGGCGTCGAAAGGCAAGGTTGCTGGAAAACTGGGCAAAAATGTAAAGAAAGCTGGCGCTAAGAAACAGGAATATGCCCCGTTTCTTAAGGTTATCATACCAGCAGCATCAGCTGTTGCGGCTCCACCACTGGGTCCCCAG